GTGCCTTTTGCCCTGATCAGAGGCTAAAGAAATGACCGACCAACTACGAAACCCTCACAGAGAAAGCAACGCGAGGAAAGCATGGAAATTCCCTTTTTCCCAGCGGGGGCCTGACTGCCAGCTGGGTCGTTGGTTCCCCTGGGACCTACCAGTCCACCCCACGCAATGACACACCGTCCATGAGCCCCTCGAGCAGTTGCACACTGAACCTGCCCCGTGCCAGGCCTCCCTGCCTCTGGACCCTCACACAGACCAAGGAACCATCCTAAAATAGCTCCATCAAGCTATGGCAGCGCACTCTGGAAGCAATGACAGCTTTAAGGAGGACAGTCCCTGCACTGGTCCTCAGGGCCTTGCAGATCAGCCTCTGCCTGTTCCCCAGGGGTAGATGTGTCTCCCCCCTGGCCGGTGGTCCTTGGACCTCCTTGTTACTGTCACTGTGGTTTAGGTAGATCACCGTTTTGTACGCTGTGGGTTGAGAGCAGGGAACGGGCATAGCAGGAAGCACTGTTCATCTGTGTGGGGATCTCAGAGAGCACCTGTGCCAAAGTGCCCACCATCTCCTCGCCTGGCCGAGGAGATAAGCCTCTAGCTGTGTGCTCCACAGCATGCTGGAGGTGGCAGCCACCTTGCCAGGCACCTGCAGGCAGCAGCCGACAGCTCTCCTGGATGGGGGCTGTGGAAGGGCGAGCTGGGCAGGACGTCGAGCAGAGCCACGAGGCAACGCGCGGCAGCTGGCAGGGATGTCCTCGACTGAGCCCTTGCCCAGCAGTCAGCGCCTCTGCTAAGGCCGGGCAGCTCCTCCAGGCCAGGCTGAGCCCACCCTTCCTGAGCAGACAGACTATCTGCTGAAGAGTTCAGGGCCTTCATGGTTTGTGGTAGGTCTCTGCAAGGCAGCTGGAGAATGGCCTTTGAGGCAGGAACAAGTGTCCTGAAGGTTTGGTTGAATGCCATCACTCCATCATCTTGCCTCTATGACTGAGACTTCATTTTTACTCTGCTTGCGCTGAACTCCAAGACACACTGCAAACATCTGTGCCATGTCCCAACCTCACATTTTTCCATTAAAGTGACAGTTAATTGCAAACTCAGTGCCAGCCATGTAACCCGGCTCCTGCGTGAGCTGTGTACGGACCCAACAGCACTTCCCTGGGGAAAAGCCCCACAGCTGGGCCAGGAGCTGGGAAATGAGGGACTCAGCAGTTACCTGCTCCTCTCATGCAAGGTGGTGGCTTTCCAAGCTGGTCCTGATAAGAGGTCGCACCACAAGGGACAAAGTCCAGGTTGGGGGAACAGAGCCCATGTCATCGCAGTGTCCTTTGGCTGTGTCTCCCAGAGCTGTGTGCCCGACACAGCAGCAATAAACTGCGGAGGTGTGCCCGGTATATCAGTGTTAGGTGCTGTTAGGAGAACACTGGGGTTTTTCAGATGTGTTTGGAGCTGGTTTTGTTGCCTACAGAGGCAGTTACTGCTTTTTAAACCTCAGTTTGCAGAGACATTTGTGGCAAAGCCCAAATCTCGGTGATGATGCCAAGGAGATGAGGGGTTATATTGGTAAAAAAAGCAGAAAATGCTGATAAACATTTAAACGACTCCCGAACTTTCTGTAACGCTGGCTAACTTGCAAATCAATCAGAAACCAAGAAATGTCAGAGCTGTGCAGCCCTCGCTGGGTCCATGAGCCTGCTTGCCTTGTGCCCTGACTTTCTGTCTGCCTGGGGAGATGCAGAAACCCAGAGCAGGGGGCAAAGGGAGCCCTTCGGTGTGCCAGAGTGCGGGGAAGGCTGCCATTCTGTGGGCGCGCTGCTCTGCCGGGAAATCCCGCCCTCTCTCGGGCTGTCCTTCGGCCAGAAGCCAGGGGACAAAAGTCCAAAGCAAGTAGATAAGCCAGGGGCAAGAGGGGGGGGAATGCTGCACCTGCTGATTGCCTGACCCCTTGCAGAGAGGGCTGTGTGAACTCTGTGTGCCTTTTCCCAAAAAAGATGAGGAGGTTCCTCCTTATCCCCCTGCCAACAGGGGTGACAAGGGGAGAGCCCTGGCCAGAGATGTTTAGGGACACCTTCCCAGCTGTTGGCCTGCAGGTGGGACCCTGCCAGCCCTTGCTCCCAGCTTTTTCTCAGAGCAAACAGGATCCCAGCATAGGTGATGTACCCTGCCCAAGCAGTGCAATGCTGAGGAGGGGAGGGGGCAGGTACAGCACCAGGAGCTGCTGCTGTCCTCCACGTCACTGCCACCACCATTGGGTCACTGGGGCCTGTGGGAAGAGTGGGAATTGCATGGAGTGGGACACATGTCTCTGGACCACTGCCTGATGCATCAGACCTTAGAATGTTGTTTTAACAACTTCTCTGGAAGGAAAGCTAAAGACATTTCTGCTTTGCTATAGGCGAGCAAGCTTAGCCCTCTGAGTGGAAATGATCAGCAGGTAATAAAACCACAGTGCAACACGGATGAAAAGGCCCCCTGAGCAGAAAGCCCTGGTTGCAGGCCACCCTACACCAAACCGCCTGGATGCTGGGAGGTGCCATCAGTGCCCTGCAGGCAGGATCCTCCACTGCCTTTCTCTCCGTGATAAAATCATTGACTGAGTTTCTAACCAAAGCACTTCCAAGAAATTTTGTTCATCCTTGAAGGGTGCTAGCAACACCTTATTAACAGGTGAATTTGTGTAGAAAGCTGTGGCAAAGTGCTACCTCTTGAAACTGTGATCGTAGGCTTTGAATGATGAGACTTTCTTTAAATGAAAAATTATCTCAGCAAATGGAAACAATAATTTTTGCAAAGCCAAGTGCACAGAAAAGGAGGAGTTATCCCGGAGCGACATGACTAGGGAGACTTCAGGGCAAAAAATTTGAAATATTTTGAGTGATACATCAGCACTGGTAAGCAGGGAGGTGTTATTGCCCACGTTCAAGCTCTTCTGTGGGCAGACAAACCCCCCGGGGCTGGGGGTCTCTGGGCCTGGGGATGGGCAGGGGAGCAGTCTCCAGCACGTCCCCCCTCCTGCACAAGACCCCGCCTCAGCCAGCCACCCACCGTGTCCTTGCACAGAGGATTTTAGCAGCCGCTCGTGTTTTTAATTACTTGATGGATTGCAAAGGGCTTTAAAATCAGCCCTTCTCAGAGCAGCGAGACAGCCGAGGTCTGGTGTCCCCGGGATCTGCCCCAAAAGTGAGGGGTTGCAGGGGTCCTTCGACACCTGCAGCGTTGCAGCACCGGAGCCGCTGCCCCCTCCGCACAGCTTCTGGGGGGGCCCAAACCTGCCCCCACTTCCTCTCGACCAAACTTTCACTTTCTGCCATCCAGACAGAAAAAAGGGTCCCAAAAATGGTTCAAATGTCATTTTGTGGGACAGACAGACATACGTGGTGCTCGAACATCTGCAGGTAAGGTCTGCACACAGATACGCTCAAAATACACTTCCTTATTTTTACATCTCTGAGAGGTCTGAACAGGGAATAAGTGTTTGGGGCCGGGTTTGGAGTTTTTGTCCTCCTGGATTTGCTGGGTTTGTGGTAGGAAGGAAAGAGATGTCAGCACACGGCAGGGAGGCACCGAGGCCCCAGCGGGGAGAAGCCTCCAAGGGGAAAGGAGCAGAGGCCAGGGGCCCGTCAGCGCCAGGCAAAGCAGCGAGAGGCAGCTTCTGTCAAAATGCCCCTTCCCTGCCAGCAGCAGCGGCTCCCTCCTGGTATGGAATTGCCCATTCCCCAAACTCACTCATTAAAGCCTTTCCCCTGGAGATGGAAATGCAACAGGCTGCATGTTTTTTCAGTAGAAAGCTTTGGGAATGCCCATTAATTAACCTCCGTAAAACATAGGTTTAAAATAGCATTAGATGCCGTGGCGATTCCTTGCTTTCTAATTACCAGACGGTAATCTCCCTCCTTTCCCTCTTGCCCCCATTTCTGCGGCACTTCCCTCCTCCTGCAGCCTCGCTCCCCTCCCTGGCTCCCGCCCGGCCACCCCATCCAGGGCACGCTCACTGTCCCCAGGTGAGGGCAATGTCCTTGCTCCCGACTCCCAGCCCTCCCTGGGTTTTGGCCTAGACGTGGTAGAAGAAAGCGCTTTTTCATTTTAAATAGGCCCAGAGTTTCTGTGTGTATCGCTCATGTTAGTATTTAAACCCACATCACGAGAAAAAAACCCTGCATATATTTTCTCCGAAAGAAACCCTGCATATATTTTCTCTCTTTTTCAGAGCTAATCAGCAGCAAAGGGGAGGAGATTGGTGGGCTCATATTTCTGGCAGAGCGAGCACTCTTTCTGCAGCAGTTCTCACCTCCCAGTGAAGGCACGGACCTGTGCTCTGCCCCGGGAAGCACGCGCGTATCTTCTTGTCGCCCTGCCTGTCTTTGTAGGTGTGATCCGAGAGCACCCAGAGACACGTCGATCGAGACAAACCCGTGCCTGCTTCTGGGGAAGCAGTGGCCTTAGGAGCCAAGGTGGACCTCAGAAGCTCCACACCACACTACAGGTGTTGGACGTGAAGATCTCTACCAAGAGGAAAAGCGCTGACTGTCCAAGCTGGTTTTACCTACGGGGTAAAATCCTTCGCATCGTATCACGCCAGTGAGGTCTGCATTGCCGTCTCCACTGACACGATGAACTTAAGGAACTGATTTTGTTCCTCTGTTTCGCTGGCGTGAAGGATAACAGGGACATGAAAGGAAGGGCGAGCCATCACCACATTGTACCTCCAGCGGTGGAAAGCGCTTCCTCCAAGCGGCGTTACGCACCGCGCTAACCTTTCCGTTTCAAAACCCTTGGAAAGGAACAGACGAAACCCCCGAAGCAAATTGCGTGTTTCCTATATCTCTTTATTGACCGCCGCTGACCGCCTTCTCAGGCCGAGTGCCAGATACCAGTGGAAGAGGTGGAGCCACCCTGGAGTAATAGCGAGGGCGGGGGGGACGGGGTGTTACGCGCAGGCTGGGGAGAGCTGGCTGGGGACGCGAAGCCTCGGCGCAGCGGTGAGCTCCCCTCTCTCCCCTGAGGGCCTGCTAAGACAGTGGGAAGATGTGCTCGTCCTCGTGTCGGTTGTCCCTAAGGGAAAGGACGGGGCAGTGGTGCGAACAGATGCACTTAAACACTTTGCCGAAAAAATATGTACGTTGCAACCCCCGAAGGCAAGACGTTGTTATTCCTCCTGCGGTTGCAAGGAACTCGTGGCACGCTCATCGCCTGTACGCAGGATCTCAGGTGTGGGGCTTGGCCCTGCCGCCTGTTTTTAAGAGCAACCAGTTTAACTCTGTGTGGGGTAGAGCAAGCCTGCAGGGCTTTTCCCCCGCCTCAAGGCTTGGTGCACCCGAAGACAGTGCTGCTCGCGCACTCCCTCCTGCCTGGTGGTGGCTATGGACCACAGCACCAGACAAAGATCCTTGCAGCAAGCGCAGCAGCATGGCAGCACGCGCTATCCATCCCATCCCCACGGCACAGCTCGCAGGCTTCAGCTTCAAAGTCCACCAGCCGCTCACCCAGCCCCTTGTCCCATCCGAGGGAAAGGGGGGAAAAAAGAAACAAAGGGAAGGAGGGTGGGGAACCAACAAAATAAACCCCTCTAGATATTCACTGGTATCTGTGCAACGGCTCTGGGAATGAGACCTGCAGACGGTGGCAGCCTGCGGCAAGGGGGGAAGGCCCATCAGAAACCCCCCAGCACCATGCCACGCATCCCTCTGCCCAACCCCCGCGGCTCCCCCGCAGCTGGGTTTGCGCTCGCCCTGCTTTATCATGG